AACTGAATTCAAAACTTCTATAAGTTATAATTGTCAAGCCAATGTTTTACTGACATAAGGATAGACAAATAAATCAATAGTACAGAAGAGAAAATCCAGATTTAGACATGTTATCTTTTGAATATTTTTATAAACTTGGAATAGGCAGAGATATCTTAGTATACTAAAGTCATTTACCCCAAAAGAAAAAGAATGGACAGATTGGACCTGATCAACATTAAAATTTCTCATCATCAAAAGACAGTTAAAAAAAAATGAAAGGCAAACCACAGATTGGGATTAAAAGTTCACCATAACTATTTTAAATAATATGCTTATATATAAAATATAAAACAAACTTTTACACATCTATAAGTAAAAGACAACTCAATAGTATATATGGGCCAAAAACCAGAACAAACACTTCACAGAAAAAGGTACATCAATTTCCAATGAGCATATGAAATTGTTTCCAACACCATTAGTCATTAAATAAATACAAATTAAAACTATAAAACTACATGAGATACCACAGAGCACACCAGAATTACTAAAGTTGAAAGGCTATTTCTAATAAACTTTGAAAACAGTTTTGCATGTTTGAAAACAGTTAAACATATTCCTACATGATGACCCAACAATTCTACTCCTACTTATTTACCCAAGAGAAACAAAAACATACTACAGAAAGATTTATATATACAAACAGCAGCTTCATTTATATCAGTCCTTAACTGCAATCGACTCAGACGTCCATCAGCAGGAAAATGACAAAGCAGATTCTAGTAGACACACAAAATGAAATACCACTGAACAATAAGAGGAACAAACTTCCAATCACCGAACAGCATGCATGATGAGCAAAAGAAGTCAGACACAAAAGCACACATGCTGTATTATTCCATGTAAGAAACCCAGTAACAGGCAACAGTAACACATGGTGACAGAAAGGAGACTAATGTCTGCCACAGAGAGGCTGCTTGGCTCCAGGCGGTCAGGATGCAAGTAGTGGGGTAAAGGGTGCATTGCCCTGTTGCTCATTTTTCAAATAACATGTTAGTTGTCAGCATCATGTCTCCCTTTCAATCTCCACTGCCTTCAAGATTCCTCAGGATACATGGTTGCTCCCTGACCTCTGGGAGCTCCCTTCACCTGCAATAGTGATTAATGCTCCTCTGACCACTTTTTGTTGAAATCTCTCACTTGTCACTGCCCCCTGCCATTCTCTTTGTCATTCTGAAACCAATTTTTTAATTAGCATTTTAGTAGCATTTTTTAATGAGAGAAAACAACTGCATCTCTACAATCTGCTGTCTTTAACCAAAATCTTGGTTTTTATAGAATTTGACATAATAATGTGACATTATTATTTCCTGATGCATACTGGGCACTGGGAAGAGCCAATAATTTTTTCTGGTTTGAAAAAGGAAGCTTATGAGGCCTTATAACATTTAGGAATGCAAAATGTCCATTAAAAGATTATTATCAGAGCAATAAAACGATCAACTAAGAAGCAGAATTACAGGCTCAAGTTGACAACTATTTTCACAGGACACAGCAGCCATTCCTAAAATTCAGATGCCTAGAAAGATTCATGATATACAACAATAGGCGCAGACAGATATACATTGACACAAAGCAGAGGTTCTAGGAGAAAGGATTGATATTTGTGTGAAATTTCGGTTTATGCCTTATCGTATCATTATTTACCACATCTTATCATTTATAAACTAGTTTTATAATTCAGGATGGTATGACTCTTAACTGCTGTAGGTGAGAGAGGGAGTGCCTTGTTTTTATCCTTTTGAGGTTTATTTTCTTTCAGTGTTTAACTAAGATGCACTTTTAGGCTTAGATTTTATTTTTTATTCAATTTTTTCTTATTCTTCTGTGGATGATTTGTTTACTGCATCTCATTTTTGCAAAAATTACAATATTTTCATAAAAAATTCTAAATATGTTTAGGAGAAAATAACTTATAACGGCTTTGACCAGGATAGACTAGAACTTTTCAATACTATGTACATCCTTTTAATCCACCGTGCTTCACCTTATTATAGCTTTGTCTATTTGTTCTAATCTTTACTCAAGATTATTTATTTTATATAGGTTGCTTCTTCACAGCCTATCTTTCATATGCACAATGTTACAGCATATCAAAATCTTGTTGACCACTTTATCATGGTATCCTTTCTCCCTAGGATGTCTGCAGAGGACCAGAACTCAGACAACAGCATAGAGAAGACAGCACTGAGGCTCTTCAAAATGCATAAGGTGGCAATTTCCCATAGGATAAAAGATTCATTTCCTCTCTTTGAACTTCTCCGTGACAATGAATTCATCACCAATGAAAAGTATGCTGTAAGTGAGGTTTACTTTTTCACTATTTGGTAAACCATCCGCAAACTAAGTTATGCTTTGATATCCTGGACTCAAACGTCAGAGCACAATGGTGCACCTGAGGAGACTTCTGTGAGTGGAGACCTTCTCGTGTGCTGCTGTGAGTGTTCCTATAAGGTCAAGATGGAGGAGAGGAGAAGGCATTACCTGAAACAGCCCTGCCTCTGTGTGCCCCCTACAGTTGGGTGAATAGCCCTGGAGACAGGCTGGATCTGAATTGGGTGGGCTCCACAGATGTGGAGACTTGTAGAAGTTGTACATACAAATTAGCAGTTAAAGTAATTTTAATGAATGGATGAATAAGTCTAATGATTTTATTAAATAGAATAATAATCGACACAACATTTCATTTCAATGAACATCAATTTAAATACTTAGGTCTAAGAACATTAAAATCCCCAGAGAACGAATGTCTTGTTAAGACAAATTTGAAAATAAATGCTTGCTATATTTCTCCAAAAGTTTTCAGTTTCCTTTCCCTTTTCTTTTCTTTTCTGTTGGTATATCTGGAGTCGTGGAATTTAGGTTAAGTTTAGCAAAAGACATAGGTGGAGACACAGAGATGCAAGTCTTCTCTTTCCCTATGACTAGGCTTACTTTACAGCAAAGTCCACAGGAAGGGAAATCACCACCTGGCTTCCCTGGGCCCTTCCAGGCCAAGTCGTCCTGGGCAAGGGACAGGGTTGTCCAGTCAATGGAACAGCAGCTCATCACCCACTGAGTCAATTCCTAAAACATTTGGCCAGGCTGAGAAGAGCTACATATCATTTATCTTTGAATCCATTTTTATTCTTCAAAATTGCCCCTCCTTCCATCTTATGTAAATGAAAGAGAAAGATCAGATTCAGAAATGGATATTCTCAAAGAGGAAGGATTTCATTGTTCTACTTAGTAGCCATCCAAGTATATACAAATTCTGAAAGTGTACATGAGAAGATAACTATGCAAGAAAGTTGTAATCTTTAACAACAAAATCATTTTCTAGGGCTCTTCTGTAACTTGGGAGTCTGTATTTATATTTTCCTCATTCACTATGTTTAAGGTGTCTAAAGAAAATTTTAATGAAGCTCATAATGTAGAAGAAGTGGTATATGATGTTCTCACTGAAGCACAAAAGAAGTTTGAACCATCCCTTCTGAAAATATTATTCAACGAGTTCACCTTGAAGAAATACCCTGGTTTAAATCGCACTTATGAAATCTTCAAAAATGGTAATTAGGTTTGTTACCTACTTTTCGATGTCCAAGGCCAATGTTTTCCCTCAGGTAAACACTGAGCTTCTACTGTGTGTCACACAGAGTGCTGGGCAGTGGGGCTACAGCGGTAAAGAAAACTGACCTATCATGAGCTTCTCAAAGCTTATCATATAATGGGTGCAGTACAATGCCCATCTGGGGGTCCGCTTAACTAGGCAGTTAGACTCACAGGACAACCAAAGCCACAGTGGCATCAGATTTACTTAGAAGGACAAATGACAAGAAACATAACATCCCTAAAGGGCGGCATCAGTTGCTGCTCCTCTGTGGGACCCTCAGCAGCGGCCCACCCAGCAGTTCACCGAGTGGACTACTACCTGCCTCGAGTGACAGCTTAGCTGTGGGTGCAGGATCCACCATGTTCCAGCCACACTGCACCCCTGGGAGCCAGTGTCTCATGTAACAACCCTGTAGTCATAACTTTCAGAGACCCCACAGGGAACAGCTGACATACAAGAGTCAGTACATTGGAGAAACACCAAAAATGGCTTCTAGTTCGTATCTAGTCCCTACCCACTGTCACTGCTCACTTTTGGCTCTAAGGCCAGTGTCTGCCTAGAAACACAGAGAGACACTGCCTTCACCAGGTTTCCAGAGTAATGAGCAAAAAAAGGAACTCAAGGTCAAATTGGCCCTTAAAGAAGGAGAAGTAGTTTTATTAACTCATTCTCCATAACACATGTGATCAACAATCAATCATAAAACCTAGTGCTCTGACAGAGGTGGTTCTTCTTTTTCTTTTTTGATGCTATACAGAACCATAGGTTTGATTCTCTACTTCTCTCCTGAGAAGGCATGATTTATACTCTTTTATTGGTTCTCAGTAAAGATGCCCTCCGTTAATTTTTGTTTCACTTCCCTGGAAATTTTTTATCCGAACACAGTTTATGTCTCCCCAGGCTCTCCGAGTAACAATGGAGAACCCAGAGCAAAAGGCTGTAGGAGCTCGGGGGTGCAGCTGATACAGGGACAGGCAGGGCAGGAAGGGCCCGTGTGTCTGCAGAGCAAGCACAGAGCAGATCAGTCTCAGAGTGAGAAGCAGACTCTGGGGACTGAGTCGAGAGGGATAAGTTTGAAGGCAGATTTTGGAAGGTCTGGCTTCTAGCGCTAAGGAATTTGATGATATTTGCTGCAGGGCAAGGAGGAAGTCCAGGTTTACAAGGTTTATGAGCCCAGGTTTCCTGCCCCGGGAGGTGCCCCTGCCAGCAGCCCTGAGGCAGAGGCGCTCACTGCTCCCTCAGGCTGCACTCTGGGCTCCCTGCAGAGGCCCACCCCCGGGCTTTTCGGTTCATTTCCTTCCTCCAGTGTTTGCTGGGCCCTCCATGCAGGGGTCCTGGGCTGGTGCTGTGTTCTCTCTTCTTTGGGAGACTCCCAGGTCCTTGATGAGGCCTCTTGGGACGTCCTCCAGTGCAATACCCCTGCTCCTGGCTTCAGACAGTGTGTCCTTCCTTTGTCCTGGGACCTGGGACCCCTGGGACATCTGTCTACTTGCTCCCATGTCCTCTGATTTGTCTCTTTGGGAAGCCCTCATCCTCCCTGACCTAATCAGGCCAAAACCTACTTTTGTCCAGCCCCATTTTTAAAGCTTTTGGGTTTTTCCTTTTGTATACATGTGAACCACTATAAGATCTCTGTTCTCCTCCAAAGGAAATCCTTCTGTTTCTTCCTTGCATTTGAACAATTCAGCAAACACGTTTCAAAATAAACATTATTTATGTTAATATACACTTTCTCAGCCAGCTGCATTTTTTCACAAGTAACAAGCTCGTGAAGTTTCCAAAACATCATTTTTTAATTTAATTTTTATTTATAAACTCTAGAGAAAAGGGAGGGAGAAAGAAGAGAGAGAAACATGTATGTGAGAGAGAAACATCAATTGGTTGCCTTCAATATGTGCCCCGATAGTGAATCAAAATGCGACCTTTCTGTTTGCAGGAGGGCACCCAGCCAGCTGAGCCACAGTGGCCAGGGCTCCACAATTTCATTGTCCTGTCTGTCATTCAAGTGGCTCCTTTCTGTATGGGGAGCACAAAGGCTTCTTTGTTGGGGGGTTTTCTTTTCTGCCCCAAGGGTGAACAGGGAACTTTACCATAATGATTGGGACCCACTGAGCCCTGAGTAACCCAAGAGCTGGAAATTCTTAAATGTGTAACTTGAGGTGATGTCACTATTCTCAGTGGAGATTTCTAATTGCCTTCTTATCTTGCTCTCTCTTCAGCGATACCAGACAAAAATTTTTTTCCAGAAATTGATGCACAAGGATATGAGGAGAGGTCTCATATTCAATCAATAGTTGAACAAGGTATTTCTACCAGATAAAAACAAAGTTTCTGCTAAGAGGAAAGCAGAAGGAGAGGTGGGACTCGAGTCCTGGGATATTGGAAATTGAGGGAGAACTGCTGAGGAGAACGGAGAAGGCAGGGAGGTGTGTTCATACAGGAATCTAACCAGCGGCTGATTCTGGAGGAGCAGCTGTGACAAAAGACTATGGCCCAATAACCAGGACAAAAGGACAGGAACCCAAGGAGTCAGATTTAGCAAGAATGCTGACCTGGAAGTAATTGTGATGTGGAAAAAACCTTGTAGGAGAAGATGAGTATGGAGCTGTGAAGGGCTAAGAACTGTGTGCACAAGGTCGACATCACAGGAGATGATTTATGAGGACAGGAGATGGGACCGATTTCAATATTGGGGGGGCTGTTCAAGAGCAGGAATGTTCCAAGAGGCAGTCAGTCATATCGAGCAAGACGAGGGGAAGTGGGAAGATGTGGAAGAAGGGATGGTTGTACTTTGAGAGAGAGAGGAAAGGAAATGAAAGACACGAGAAAAGGGCGAAGGACACAATAAAACAACCACATTATTAAGAGCTCACTTATTGAACATAGTGCTCACAGCTATTCTTGGGGGGATGGTATCACTATCTGCCCATTTACAGAAAAGGAGACTGAAATCAAGGGAGACCATGGATGCATTTCGCTTGGGGTCAAATGAGCAGGATGAACCCAGACATTCTGAACCCAGAGCCTGTCTTCCTAACCCTGTGTGAACCCAGATAATCTCATGGAAAGATAGAAACCTGAGACAAAAATGGGGAAATCTATGCATAGAGAAGCACACAGAAAGAATACCGGGATCTGGGGAAAGTGCAGGAGACTCAGACACTGAGCCTCACGGAAAGGCCAGCAAGGCAGAGGCACAGACCTGCAGGGGGAGGGCGTGGTGTGAAGGGAGCTGGGGACGAGACAGCAGGCTTTGTTAGAGGTTACGGCAGCTCTAACAACAAACGCAGGCTCATTGTAGCCAGGGGTGGCACGAAAGACCATCTCCAGTGACCAAGTGTCTCGTGGTTGATCTCAGCGAGGTGGCCTGACTGAGGCCAGGGGCGCAGCTAATGGCCAGAGCGGGGTGGGGTTCTCCCGGTCCACATGGGCTCTGTATTGGTGCATGGGCGGGGGGAGGGGGTGATCTTGAAGCCCCACTTTATAAGGGTTAAAATGGGACTAGGGGAGAACGTCCCCACCCATACTTAAATTTCTGAAATAAACTTCTACTTTCTTCCCCCAGAAACAGGTGAAAACTCAGATCCAAGCCTGCTCCCTGGGAATAGCCTACATCCCTTGAATTACAATGGTGTGTACCTAGTGACTGTTTTCTGTAATTTGCTGTTCTTGTCCCCTTCTGGCATGCGCAGTGGCGGGGCGAGGGCTGCTTCTTTTTAGTGCTGATTGTCCAGAATAGTCATTCTTTGCACCTGCAGTTTCTCTAAAGATTTAGACAGCAGAGCCTTCATTTTCCTGGTTGCTGAGAGGGCCCCTCCTTCCGTTCTCCTTAAATGCACTTACTGCCACCTGCTGCCACCCTGGGCCTGGACCTATTGCCCATGCACCTGGCTTCACAGTCCTCTGCCTCTGCCTCGCCTGACTCTGGCTGCAGCCTTGCTCTCAGGTCACATCCAGCAGCAGCCAGCACTGCACAGGGGAGTGGGGGAGGGGCGGTGAGTGCTCCCCCTGGGCCAGGGCCTCTCACCTGGGGGGGTCCCTCACACAGGACCGTGGACACCGTGTGCCTCCCGCGCAAACCCTCTCCCACCGTCTCCGGGCAGCAGGCCTGGGGCTGTTCCACAACTCCACGGAAGGCGTCATGATGTAGCCGCCACGGGGATGTGTTATTGGAGAAAGGATGTTCTATATTAGTAATACTTTTTTATTTTTAACAACAACCTTTCGCAATGATTTTTGGGAACACCATGATACTTTTTGCAAATCATGTTTACTCAAAAAGTTAATAGTTAAGGATATAAAACATCCAACATGCACCTATCCATGTTCTTAGCACTTCATCTACCCATGAGCTGGTGGGAACAGGAGGGGTGACTGGAAGGAACAGTGATGAGTAACACACACACAGAGAAGGGATTAACCGTGTGTGTGTCTGTGTGTCCATCAGTGTATGTTACAGTGATACTATAACCCAAATATTTTAAACAAACCACCAATACATGTATCCAGGAGTCTGAGCCAGCAGCACAGGAGCAGACAAGTCTGTGTCTCCTGCCCCTCCCTCCAAGAGGGGGCTCCAAGGAGCTGTGGATATTGCACAGGAGTGCACCAGGGCCCAGGTTCTCTGTTAAAATTGTGGCGATTAATTTTGTGAATCATACTTTACATAAATTGCTTTGCTTAGAAAAAGAGCACTAAATGAAAAAAGTCAAGCTGCAATAAAAGGAATGGGTACCCATTCATGCACTGTTGGGGTTGGTGGGAGCAGGGTGGGATGGGTGGACAATATTGAGAATGAGCAGAGAAGGTTCACGTGGGGCAGGGGGTGCACAGGTCCTGGGTGGTTTACTCAGAGATTCATTCCTTATCCTTTCCTGCTCTGCTCTGCCCTCCACCTCTGGCCACAGACCTCTGCAGGCTCGCTTGCCAGCTCCCTGTACTGTGCCCTGCTGAGTCCCTAACCCGGCAGACTGGGAAGAGACTGGAGAGTGGGAGCAAGTGAGAAGCTGGGAAATCTTGCTGTCACTTTCTCGGGCCTCAACTCTAGCAGTAGCTGCATCTCCCCCATGACACCGCTTCCCACCAAGCAAGGCAGCCATAGTCCAGCTTCCCCCTACCCAGTGGCCTTGGGACATGACCTCGGCACAAGGCCTCAGCCTTAGTCCCTTGCATACCTTCCTCTTGACTATTTTGTGAGCTTCCATGTTCTTCCACTTGGGCCTCTCAGCTCTTCCATCAACTGAGTAACTAATAATTTGGGTTAAATTCCCTCTGTTCTAAAGCTTGGGAAGCTTTGTATTATATTTTCCTTTTGGACCCTGATTGATGCAGGGAGCAAATAAAATATCTATGATTCAACACCTGGTCTAGGTTCAGTCACATCTGATAATGGACTCTCAGAGCAACTCTTGGAAACAGAGGAGACAAATGCAGTGGAAACAGGTACAACCACTGGCAACAGTGATGCACTAGAAAGCCAACCAGCAAATGAACAACGTGCCCAAGAGCTTGATCCAGCAGGTAAGACAGAGATGCTGGGTTTGATGAGTGTAGAGGGGGACGGGCAGGTGGAGGGACTCAGTGTGGCAGGTAGAGTCACAAGAGTTGAACTTCGGTAATGATGGGAATGCTTAACATAGAGAAAACATAAAGACAAAATTGATATAGAAGAGGCATGCATGAGTCACAGAAACAATTAAGAAATACAATAAGAGAAAGTAGGAAACATTGTAGAGAATGGATAAACTGCAAGTTTACAAAGGCACAGCAGGGCCAGGCCTAGGGTGAAGCAGGAACCCAAAAGCTTGTGTGAAGAGCATCTCACTCCCAGCACCCCCTGAGCTGTAGACAACTACTTGGCTTCACCCTGGCCCCTGCTGGGCCCAGGGGCACAACGATAAAATCAATGTAGAGAGATAAGGATGAGTAGAAAAAGATACAAAAGGAAATGAACATCAATAGGTAGAAAAAATGGGGAGGCACCAAGAGAACCATGTCGAGAATGAATAACGGACAATGAGTCAAAAACTGATGGAGTGTGGACCAGGTAGACAGAGAGAGGACAAAGCACTGTGTGACTGGAAGGGACAGTCACCAACCACAGAGAAGGCACAAAGGCTGTTCTTAATGAAAGGTAAGGTGTCCACAGTGATGAAAATGGCCCAGGAAACTTCTCAGGGAAAAATAGTCCTCTCCTCTAAAAAGTCGAGACAAAAATAAATATAAAAAACCCAGGGTTAAAAGAGGTAGTAAGGAAGGGCAGAGTCAAGCAGCAGGAAAGGAGCAGGGGCAGGGGGCGCACTCCCCACAGCGGGGTCGCGGAGAGCAGAGCTTCCTTGCAGTGAGGGCGCTCCCTCTCTTTGGGGATACAAATGCAATTCCTCATTTTTACAATCTGGTCCAGGAGCAGAGCTACCCAGCCATGGAATCGCCCCTTCTGTGTTGGACCTGGAGGAACCTGCAGGTCCCACACCTTAGGGCACAGACCCGGGGGACGTGAGTTAACTTAGTTTCTCTGCCTTCCTAGTGCTCTTGTCATGGGCTTTCTTCTCCGTGGTCTCGTTAGTCCCTCCCTGAAATTCTAAGGGGTTTTGTCCTCTGTGCAGTGATCGGCTCTGAGGACTCCACAGAACGTAGAAATAGAGAAGAGCCCCCTGAAGCCCAGGCATGGAATTTCGGCCCTATACATCCAGCGAACATAAAGAAGGAAAAGACTTCTTTGACTGCAGGAGTCGACTGGGAAGCCCAAGGAAGGACTGACTGTAACCAACCATCTGCAATAATAGGCAAGGCCGACTGAAAGAGCGTGTGATGTGAATCACAGTCCTGGGCAAGGGTCTGGGACGCGCCACAGGGCCATGAGGCAGCCCTGGTGGCCTGGGCGAGAGGTAGGAAGGGGAGGGGACCAGCGCCTTATGCAGCGAGCTCAGCAGAAGTGTCCCCTAGTAACTGGAAAAATATCTAAAACAGAAATGGTTGGCTTAAGTATCATATCAGGCTATTTCTATGCAAGAGAGTAAAGTGACCGTTGTAGGAGTGAAAAGAAAAGGGAGAAAATCGAAAAACCAAGATATTCATTAGAGGAGAGAAAAAGGAACACATGAAGACAAGGAGAGTTATAAAGACATGCCACCCCCAGGCATAATTAATGAAATGGTTTGAACCAATGAGAAAGTGAAGAATTAAAATGAGAATGAAAGAAGAAGTAGAGTGGGGGAGGGGAGGGAGGGTAGAGTGAGGGTGGAGGCGGGAGACAGGGCGACCGTGGGGTAAGAAGGGCTGCAGGACGGGCACAGCTGCCCTCTGTGCCTGAACCTCACCCCCTTCTGTGTAGGACCTGGAGGAACCTGCAGGTCACACACCTTAGGGCACAGAGCGGGGGGACGTGAGTTAACTTAGTTTCTCTGCCTTCCTAGTGCTCTTGTCATGGGCTTTCTTCTCCGTGGTCTCGTTAGTCCCTCCCTGAAATTCTAAGGGGTTTTGTCCTCTGTGCAGTGATCGGCTCTGAGGACTCCACAGAACGTAGAAATAGAGAAGAGCCCCCTGAAGCCCAGGCATGGAATTTCGGCCCTATACATCCAGCGAACATAAAGAAGGAAAAGACTTCTTTTACTGCAGGAGTCGACTGGGAAGCCCAAGGAAGGACTGACTGTAACCAACCATCTGCAATAATAGGCAAGGCCGACTGAAAGAGCGTGTGATGTGAATCACAGTCCTGGGCAAGGGTCTGGGACGCGCCACAGGGCCATGAGGCAGCCCTGGTGGCCTGGGCGAGAGGTAGGAAGGGGAGGGGACCAGCGCCTTATGCAGCGAGCTCAGCAGAAGTGTCCCCTAGTAACTGGAAAAATATCTAAAACAGAAATGGTTGCCTTCAGCATGATGTCAGGCTATTTCTGTCCAAGAGAGTAAAGTGACCGTTGTAGGAGTGAAAAGAAAAGGGAGAAAATAAAAAAAAACCCAAGATATTCATTAGAGGAGAGAAAAAGGAACACGTGAAGACAAGGAGAGTTATAAAGACATGCCACCCCCAGGCATAATTAATGGAAATGGTTTGAACCAATGAGAAAGTGAGGAAATAAAATGAGAGTGAAAGAAGAGGTAGAGTGGGGGAGAGAAGGGGAGGTAGAGTGAGGGTGGAGGCGGGAGACAGGGCGACCGTGGGGTAAGAAGGGCTGCAGGACGGGCACAGCTGCCCTCTGTGCCTGAACCTCACTCTCTTCCGTGTAGGACCTGGAGGAACCTGCGGGTCACACACCTTAGGGCACTGAATTAACTTAGCTTCTAGGTCTTCCTGGTGCTCTTGTCATGGGCTTTCCTGTCCATGGGCTCCTTAGTGCCACCCAGAAATGCTAAGGGGTTTTTGTCCTCTGTGCAGTGATCAGCGATGAGGATTCCACAGAACACAGAAATAAAGAGCCCCCCGAAGCCTCTGCCTCAGCACAGAAAAGGAAACCCGGTAAGGAGCTGGGAGCTCAAGGCGTGGGCTGCAGGGATCTGTACTGAGAAATAGTGTTTCCTGAGGCACCTGTTCTGAGTTCATGCTGCACCATGGATCCAGTTCATCCTGGATCCCATTCTCTGCTTTTTACTTGACCAGTCTGGGATGTGCAAGGCAATAAGAAATCATTATATTTACATTTTTTGAAGGTGAAACTATTTATTGATGAGTCCTATTAATATATGCATCTATATATTGATTATATTGTAGAAATAAGCTAGCAAAGTAATGAGCTTGTTTTAAAATTAACTAATTGATATGACTATTAAGTGTTAAATTTATACCATTATTTCTAAAGAGAAGAGAATGCTAAATTTTTTTTTATCGAGAGGTCATATTGTCATCTGATTGCAAACTTTAAATAGGGTCAAAAGACAACTCATTCATCTAGTGTTAGCAGAAATGTATAAAGTGTTTTGAAACCCTAAGTGTTTTGTTTTGTTTTTTTGACAGAGCTCTTCAGCAAGTCATGACATATGCATATAGTAACTTTAAAGGACCTTTGTAAATAGCATCTTACTTTTCCCTTTACAGCAACCCTGAGGGGTAAGCAGGATAGACATTGTATCCTTGTTTCTAGATGAGGAAACACAATCACATAAATGTTTCCAGGTTCCACAGTCTGGTGGAGGTAACAGCTTCCTGGATTTTGCATTATTTCCTTCAGAAAACTCCAGTTTGAAACGGTTACCTACATGCTGTTTCCCTGAGCCTTGGGCAGCGTGAGTGGCCTTACGTTCTGCCACTCTTTAGTGCACAGAGTGGTGTTGGTTTTCTCTTCCTACTTTCACTGAGAGCATTGGAAACACGCCCTTTAGGAAAACACACTAGGAAATGTTGCCCGGTCTTTATCTTGCAAAAGTACTATATTGTTAATCATGTGTTTGTTGTACTACCTCCCCGTGTCTATCAATGTAAAATGTAAGTTTGCTTCAGATTTTAGAGGGGCACCTTCTTGACTTGTGTCTCTGTGTGGACAGACTGCTCTAGAAGGTGGCTCTGTAGTAGGTCTATGGCTCAGACTCAAGAGATTACTTCTCAGCTGTGCAAACGGTTCAAGGGGCACCAGTGGGGAAGGAGACTCTCTGCCTTCGATGCAAGATTTCCAGGGTCTCCCCACATGAGAAACAGCAGACAAAGGAAGTGTGAAATGACAATAGAGGGGTAAGAGGAGGGAGACAGAGAAGTGCAGGGAGGTCAGGTTCAAACAGAGCAGTGAGTTGTCTCTGCTCTGGGGACAGGGAATGGAGTGTCACTCATCCGCAAGGCAGGTGACTTAGAAGGACAGACTAGGGTGGCCTGGATGCAGGCCATGATTTCCGTGGGTGTTCAAGATGTTGTTGGGTTTGTTTGGGTTTTTTTTTACTTTTTATATTATTTTTAGGTTTTACAGTTGTTCCAATTATTTCCCTCTTTGACCCTCTTCACCCATCTGGCCCCCAACTTCCATAGTCATTCCCCACCCCATTGTCCATGCCCATGGCTCCTTCACACATGTTCCTTGACTAATCTCTTGACCTTCTTTCAAACAGTCACCCCCTGCTTCCCCCCTCTTACCTCTGTCAGTCTATTCCATGATTCTATGCCTCTGGGTCTATTTTCCCAAGTTTTGTCATTAGTGAATTTCCTGGGGGATTGGCTTGGGTTTTTTTCCCACTCGCCAAGTCACATAAAATATCCTATTCATTTGTGCAGGGATCAGTATCTTTGACTTTTTAGAATCAAGTGCTCGCCATGCTACTTTGCACAGAATATGAATATTAAGGTTGCAGTCCTGGATGACAAGTATCCAGCACCAAAATGTATAGCTTTGTTTTCCTGATGAATGTCCTTCTGAGCATTTTCCATACGTCTTTATTCCATTACTTCTAGGATACTCTTTACTTAAAAATAAAATGCCTTTCAAAGTGACAGGCAACAAGCATTTGTTTGAGGTCAAAAGAATAGCTGTTTGGGAAAGCACTCAATCAGGCAGAAGCCCAAATAGCGTTCTCGTTAGAAGACAGCATCCAGGGGTATTTATGAGAAAGGAAAGGGAAATAATTATACAAATACCAGGAAGGAATTTCTAGTGGTGAATATAAATTCACAGGAATGCTAATTCTAAGCAATGTTTTAAATTTTTAGTCAGTTATCAGTCCAGTAGTCATAAATTCTGCTTTCTTGTTATCCTTGGAAACAGTTTTTTGGGACACAATTTGCTTTAGGCCCAGAGCCAAGGTCATTTTCCCCTGTTTTAACAGTATGGATGCTTCAGGCATGAGAGGTGAAAGGAAGTTCTTCTGGGATGGCAGCTCCAACTTTGTTTTAAAGTGGCTCCATTTATATATAATTTTACAACTTTTCCCTTTGGATCAAGGTCTTTCCTTGAAAACATCACTAATTAATTATCAGAAAGTAGCAATCAGTTATTGAAATGCCATCGGTTCTCCATTGTTAGATGGCTCATTTGGGGAACGTTATGCCTTTGTTGGTCCCTCGTTGCCAGAAAGGCTCATTCCCAGGATGTCATGGCCCACGAGGAAGGCAAGTGGTTTTCTATTTCCTTAGGGGTCTTAGGCCACATTTGAGTATCAAAAGCACCAGAGCAGAAAAAGGCTTTAATGTCATGTTCCTTTAAGGGAAAACATCTGCAGTTTCTTGAGGGTTCTCATACAAAGTCTCATAGGCCTAAGTGATTATTTAAAAAATATTAAGTAACAATTACCAAAGTGGCATCTTCATAACATTGCTGCAGCAGTCAGCTGAAAATGTCAAAAAAATATATATATATGGTGTCAGTGGGCACTGCGTTTAATTATTTGACTTATATTTAGACTTTATCTAGTTTCATTTTTTTTTATCAGAGGTCTTTTATCCAAATGCAACAAAAGGTATTAGTAACAGAGAAAATCCCAACTTGTTCAACTAAGATACAGTCAAGGACAATTATATTGTCTAATGTAACTCATGCAAGGAAATTTAAACATTTTTCTGGTTGACCATTGCTGGGGTGGTCACTGCAATTCCTGCCAAGGGAAAAATATTCTTTCAAACCTGTACTGGAGCTGACATCACCAGTCGTTAAACATCCTCGACTATGTGTGTAACCAGTTTTATGTTTTGACCTGTGAAGTAGGTTGAAAGATGATGTCCAGCCCTGGCCAGTGTGACTCAGTTCGTTGGAGCACCATCCCGTAGACCAAAAGGTGTTAGGTTCAATCCCAGTTCAAGGAAAATACCCAGATTGCGAGTTCAATTCCCAGTTTGGGCACATACTTAGAAGGAACCGATCAATATTTCTCTCTCTCTCTCTATCTCTCTCTCACTCTCCCCCTCACTTTTCTTTTTCTAAAAAAAGAATGAAAAAATGTTCTCAGGTGAGGATAAAAAAAATTATGCCCAATATTATCTTTGCAGACAGCAATTAAGGGTAAACAATAACTACTATAGTATATTTTATAATATAGTACATTGCTATATTGTATAATATGAGTGCTTGGCCTCATATTATTTGTGAGACAAGAAAGAACTAAAGTAAGAAAAAAAAGAAATATGAAAGTGTTGACTATACAAGCCTGGCCCAGAATCTGCATTAGTTGTCCACAACAGATACCATCTGCTTCACCTTTTACTAATTTTATATATACCTTTTAAGGTTTTATTTATTTACTTCTTAGAGAGAGGGGAAAGGAGGGAGAAAGAGCAGGAGAGGAACATTGATGGGTTGCCTCTCACACACTCTCAACTGGGGAACCTGGCCCACAACCCAGGCATGTGCCCTGACTGGGAATTGAACCTGAGACCTTTTGGTTTGCAGGCCGGCACTCAATCCACTGAGCCACACCAACCAGGGCATATTTTATATTTTAATTCTTCTGCAGTCCAGGCCTTATTTTTGTATAATAATATTATCTTTATCACACCAAATATTCTGTGGAATCTATGAAAGCCAAGTATGATTTTGCTTCTAGATATAATGTCATTTTTTAAAACCCTCACCCAAGGATATGTTTAGGTTTTTTTCAATTGATTTTGAGAAAGAGGAAGGGAAAGAGAGAGAAAGAAACAACAATGTGGGAGAAAACCATTGATTGGTTGCTTCCCAAAACCACTGGCTGGGTATCATACCCACAACTTAAATACAATATGTGCCCTGAGTGGTAATAAAACCCATGATCTTTGGTGTATGGGACCACACTCCAATCAAACGAGCAACCCAGCAAGGGCTAAAAAATAGTGTCATTTCTGTCATAATCTCAGTAAGACATTTGATTCTGGATGAAATTGTTAGGAGGAAATGTGTCAAATCAGCTATTCTTAACCCAACACACTTTCTTATGATGTAAAGCAGTACTTTGTTCTCACTATTTTATTATTTTTAATTAAATTTATTGGAGTGCCATTTGTTCACAAAACCATATAGGTTTCAAGTGTACAACTCAATAAAATATCATCTGTGCACTGCATCATGTGCCCATGACCCTGAGAAAAGCCTCTTTCCCTCCTCATTCCCCACACCCTTCTGCTCACCTCCACCTACCCCCTACCCTCCTTTGCCTCTGGTTATCACCACATGGTTGTCTGTCTATGGGTTATGTATGCATGTTCTTTGGCTGTCTTTCATCCAATTCTCCCAACCCCTCCCCTCTGACAGCTGTCAGTCTGTTCCATGTATCCATGCCTCTGTTCCTATTTTGTTCGTCAGTTTATTTTGTTCATGAAATTTCACATATAAGCGAGATTATATGGTATTTTTCTTTCTCTGACTGGCTTGTTTCACTTAGCGTTATAATCTCCAGGTCCATCCACACTGTCGCAAAAGGTAAAATATCTTTTTTTACCTTTTTTTTGTCTTTTCTACAGCTACATAGTATTCCATTGTATAAATGTAGCACAGCATTTTTATCCACTCTTCTTGACTATTACAGATAACGATGCAGTGAACATAGGGGTGCATATATTCTTTTGAATTACTG